CCCCAAAACCCCAAAACCCCAAAACCCCAGAATGCCTTTTTAAAATAAATGTAATCATAATCAAATCTAATTAATGTTAATTTTTTCAATAGCATCCTTGAGATAGGCATATTCTTTGTTAAAGGCCATCTTTTCATAAAATATCCTGCATTGATAATTGAGACAGGGTACTACTTCATCACTTATACCATCATTTGGCATCGCTTAAACTAATTAAGCTACCCTACCTCTCAAGAGCATATTAGAACATGCTAGGCATATCATATTATTCTTTTCTAGTTAATTTTAGAGATTCTTGAGTCTTTGATTGAGTATATAAATAGTCTCTCTAACGTTTTTTGTGCAAGTTTTGCACAGTTTTTGCTTGGATTCATCACCACAGACAATGCAATTCTTTCTCTGGTAAAACTGATCAATCATCATTGAGTTCTAGCCTGCAATGCTAGTACTTGACACTCCACTTCTAGAGGATAACTTAGAGGACAACTTTGACTTAGAAATATTAGATCTGGAACTGCTTATTTACTGTTGAAAGTAATCTATCTTTTTACTGTGAATTCCTTGTTCTCTGTTTAGTTTAGGCATTCTATTGAACCATTAATTTACATCGATATCGAAAATCTCCAGAAATATTCTGTTTAAAGCTGCGTTAATCTGTCTTCTAATGTAATAATTGGCATTTAGTAGCAGTCCATCAGAAGAAAGAAACTCTTCAGGTGATAGGACTAAATCTTTTATCTTCGATTGATCAATTGCTCCACCTTGGCCCATCGCAATTACATATGGTATTCTCTCTTTATATCTAGGCATTGCCCCTGGATCTCGCTCTAGTCTTCTTTCACAAATTATAGCACTAGGAGGCAACACTCGATAAGTTCCTAGTCTTACTTCTTTCGCAAATATAAAGTCCTTGAATTCAACATCTCCATTTTAAATTTTGGTCCATTACTTGATGAGATAAGATTTGATTTAAGTAAGATCTTTGGTCTCGAACAGCAGTCTTAAGCATTTATCCATGATTTTAGCCACTGCTTCTACAGTGTCTCTTCTTATTGTTTCTATCCCCTTTGCATCTAATACTGGAGTATCAGTAATCTTCTCCATTTTATAACCACAATATCTCTTTTTGGCAAGTGTGACACAAGGATAATAAACCTTTTCTAATTTTAATTCCATTGGGAAAGGATTGATCTCAGTCATAGTTTTAGCAATTATTTCTCCTATTCTGAAAGTATCTTCAAGAGTTCTTCCCTCGCATAATATGAATGTGGAATCAGTGTCTCCATAGACCACCCTTGTTCCCCAAGTCTCCTCGTTTTAATTTACTATCTTCATACACCTTTCAAGAGTGTGTCTACCAATGGCAACTACACTGTCAGCTAGCTCAGAACATGGCATTCTCCCAGAGAATCCAGCAGCAGTATATCCATATGTTACATTTGCTATCAACTTCAATGCTAGTTATCTTGAGTCCAGCATTCTATACGTTATAGATCCAGGCTAATAGAGCTTCATTGATTTCTTAACCATTATTCTGGTATATAGTATCTCTCTCAGCATTCTGGGTAGTAATCCTAATCTCAAGTGAGGCTTCACAAAGCAATTAAGATTTGGAGCTATAATTATATTGTCCAATATGTATTGCTCTTATTCTGGAGTCAGATCTTAATCGTTTTCAATGCCAAAAAATGATTTTATATTTCCAGGTATCACATATACTCCGAGTTTTCTTTAATCAGTATTATTTTCAGGATTAATCTAAATAATCTTTCCCAAGCAGGTAGAGTAACAGAGATTATAGGCGATGATCACTGAAGGATAGAGACTTTGAAAATCAACAATAATTACTGGACTTGTGTAAAATAACTTATCAGGCTCAACCACTAGTGGGATCACTTCAAGTTCGTTTTGATTTCTAACTTATTACACTGCTGCAGACAATAACAAATAATCTTAAGACTTAGTAATTCTGGATAATATTGCCTCAACTCTAAACTAAGATCCTCTGGTCATTACACTCTCATAATCAATGCCATAAACCTTGGCCATATTAATATCTCTGTTAATCAAATCCATTGTTTCTAATATCGAATAAATGTTCAAAAGCCTTTTGAATTAATAACTAGCTACATTATAGAATTAGCCTTTCATCCACCATTAGCTCTAAGTATCATAATCGTACCTCGGTTCTCTTTTCTTGAGTATATTAAAGCAAACGTTCTCCAAATCATAGTTAGTGAGATTAATCTCATGTCTCAAAATGGTCCATAAGTTTATTATTATTCTTCCGTTGAGTTTAATAGCTTATCCAAATTTATTGTAGAAATAACTCATTTTTTTCTTATCCTCTCTTTGGTCCTTTTATTGTTTATATGCTTCCTAAATGTCATCTTAATCATCAACGCTTCTAAGTCTCTGCTCCTTTAGCAATTTTTGATTATAAAAGCTTTCATTCAATGGCTTCAAAGTCATTGGAGTTCTCGATAATACGCTAGACATCTGAATACCTATCTTTTCAGCTCTCTTGCAAATATAACCGATACTCATAGCCTCTGTTTCATAACCAGTCACAATATCAGGGTCGTAGTATCTGAATATATCGATAACCTTTTGAAACAAGTTGACCTCATTTTTAGCAAAGATGCTCTCATTAATTTGCATGTGCGTTCCCATATTGATTGATTTGATTGATTTCGAAGCTTACTTATTAACAATGACTCCATGTATCTTGTTATATTTGTCCTCCAAGTCTAATTCTGCACATTCATTATGAATCACATAGAAGACTGCCTAATTTATAGAATAAGAACAGTAAATTTACACAGATAGGATCTATTTCGAAATTTGGCACACAGCCCTCTCTAGTTTGGACGAATACCTCTATTATCATTTATGTAATTCCATTAATTAGGTCAAACTTTTGATGTAAATCAAATAGAGTTTGCATCTGGCTAGTCTACTGTTGTTCATTATTTAAGACTTGTCTTTGCTTTTCGAAACCACCCATATTATTTTGAGAATCTATGTTCTTCAAAGCCTTTATCCATTATATTTTATAATTTTACATATTAAGTAGCAGGAGTAATGAATCTATTTTCAGCTGATCCCATGTTCTGAATGATTAAGTCTCTCTTTGCTTCTTGTTTAAGTTTTTAGTCAATGTCAGCCTTTTTGTCAGTATCTTGAATTAAATGCCTCTGATATTTATCTTTGTCCCCTTGAGATTAATACTTTTTATTTATTTATTTAGAAGTTGGTGCTAATTTGTTATATCTTAAGGGCTAGTTAGTGACATGCTCGATGTAGTTACCAACAGTGTTGATGTTTACTTTTTCATCTACTTTTATTTCATACTTGTTTTTTTCTGTGATGAATATTTTGGTATCCTTAAGTTGTAGATTTCTATTTTATCTGACTTATCTTAATTAGATTAAATGCTCAAGTAAGTCTTTCTTTTCACTAAAATGAGCACTAAAGTTATTATTTTATAATGGCATTGAAGTTACTTTAAATGAGGGTAATCCTATGGTTATTTTTCACGAGCAGCTCTAACTCTAATAATTTTATCACCCTTTAGTATGTATCTAGGTTAGAACTCTGTTTAATCCTATTCTGTCCCTGATTTTCTTATTCCTATAGATGAATTTCTGTGATCACTTATCTTATCTGTGTGCTGGCTTTTTTATTATCGCATACTTTCCTCACTCATTTCTTCTTTTACTTCTTCTAAATCAAAGTTTCTTCCAATTTTAGACTACTTGATTATGTTATTTTGCATAGATATCATACTACCCTGAATATCATCACTCTCTTCATCATTAAATAGCATATTCTCATCAATTAGTGGAGTAGCGTTACTGTCAATGTCAAGCAAGTCAATAAAATCCAGCTCCGGATACTCAGACTACTCTGTTTGATCTTGAGGTATTAGGCCAACGTCAGTCATATTCTCATCTTACTATCGCTTTGATCGGTCTGGTGACATATAGTCAAATATAGATTTGTTGTTCTAGATATCACTTCCAATTTTCCCAGTTTTATACTTAGCCTTAGCTTGTCTGTGATCTTTAACTCTGTTCATGATATTATCATACTAATCTTTAAGCGACTCCATTATATCTAATACTTCTACTTCATCTTGCTGTATTTTCTCCTCTTCATCAAGCCCCTGAACCTATTATTGAAAATTCTTCTGAACAGCTTTTTAATGTCTAGCTTCTTGCATTTGCCTCATATTGAAAAAACCAAGCATTTGGTACCTCTCTTATAAATCCCCTTCATTCTCTTGAAGTTCTTCTTTGGATTAAATAAACATCTATAGAGCTTCATAATCAACAATATCAATTTCCTTATACATACTATTGTCGACGGTTTCAAACTTCTCTGAATTTTAAGTCTTAGTTCTGAGATGTTTGAGCAAGTATTAGATGACTTTCTAATCTTTATTAATTGACTCAGAATACCCTCCAAGTCTAGAATCATCTTTCATCTGTGCCCTTTCTAATTCTGGCAATTTTTAATGCTTTCTTCGCACAAACTCCTCTTTCCAAAGATTTACCAATGACTTTACTTCTTTAATATCAAGAGAGTACTTAAGAAACTGCTAGTCAAAAGTTTCAGGCTCTATTGCATTTACTTTAGCTGATTATTTATGATCAGATTAAAGCTAGTCAAGTTTAAAATCAGGTGTTTTATTAATTTGATCTAAGTAAGAATCAGACATATTATCGATTTATGAATCAAGATCTTGAATGCTAAAAGATTGCTAGTCAAAGCTTTACTATCTGTTAATCAAGCCTTTTCTCAATGAAGAGTCTATTGAATCTCTTACGCTATTTATAAGATCCATCCTGTAATTTGAGAAATCCTTCAAATTTTGCTAAGTTTTAGCTTTGTCTCAATGATTCAAATATATGCTCATCATTACCTCCTCATCTTGAATTAGATTTTTGCTTGATTACTATGAGTTAATGACCAATTCGTTATAATTTTCTTTTATTTCAGTTTAGTACCTATTTAGATCAATCTAAATTGGCGGGGATTTTGTGAAAACAGAACTATTTGACTTTACAAATGATTAATTACTATCTCTTTAGCTTGTCATTTATCTTTTGTTAAATAATTTATTTGAATTCTGATTTGATGGAGTGAAATTCTATATCAGAAAGGATCTTCTGATGTTATTTATGAGACTGAAGTCACTTGTTCTTTTCTTATTTTAAGTATTAATATTTCTGTTTTGATTTTACTAGGTATTCGACCCTAAGCCTAGAATCGATCCAATAATGTTATGATCGTTTTCCCAGATATTAATAATGTCCTTGCAGTTACAGTCTATTTCCAAATCGCATGAACTTACTCTTGTATAAGGACTTATAATATTGTCAGATTTGCTCTGATGTTCCTAAGCGACTTCTGGTAAATCCTTATGCCAAATCTTCAAAGAGAAATCTATATTACTATTTAATTTACTCTATAAATACCTTCTTATAGAAACGTGTAATCTTAATCCTGTGCTCTTTTCTTAGTGGTATATTAGAATTCTGCGC